GTGGCATGGAGTACACTGAATCTACATTTCAAAAGGGAAAAAAAAATTAATTTGTCAAAATCCATCAGGGCACGTTTTACAGTCCCATTTTCCTGAATTTGTTTTGATGCAACGAAACTATGATAGAAAATACAAACTTCCCTTAGAAGTACCTGCTTAATGGCTGAGTACAGGAAAAATTCTACTTTTGAAATATGGCCCATTAGCGTAGATTATAGGGAAGAATTGCAAAATGTATTCTTCACCCTTACAAAAAGGGACACATGGGAGGATTTGAAGTTAAGTACACAAGAATAATAGAAGTAATATTTTGATAAAAAGACTTTCGTCCCCATATGTCACGTATTGCAATCAGGACGTACTTTAAATACGTCTTTGCCATTCCAGAAAGAATAAACGAATTAATCACTCTCCAAGGTAATGGAGCGCTGAAGGCGCGTCCATAGCGAGTTTGTTTATATTGTTTGTTATTGACTTAGTTTGCCCGAAGGGCAAACTAAGTCGCTGGTCTAATATATATAGACGATCATGACTGACTGATGCTAATTCTAACCATGTTCTAGAAGGGTTAGAAATCTGAAACTTGGCACACATGTACCTTTTGGAATGCAGAGTTCAGAAAAAATCCCACTTTGGAGGTACATGCCCTGGTGGTACAAATTTTGGGAGGAAACGCTTTTCTTAAATAACTTTTGTGACAGATGATGATGGCATTTAGTGGATTGATTGGATGTGCTGGGCTCGGTGGTGCAGTAGTAGCACCTCTGACTGGCAATCAGAAAGTCTAGGTTCAATTCTCGGCCTATTTCATGGTTTTTTGGTTTTTTTTGCCTTCCATGTCTCGTTTCTCATTCCCCTACCCCAACAGTATTTTTTGCTTGAATAAAACGGAGAGACATGGAAAGCTGCAACTTGGGAAGGACGTGCCTGTCAAGACGATGAGTTCAGGAAAAACGAAAAATTTTAGATACATGTCCCAGGGGCATATTTTTGTGGGCCGCCGTTTTCCAGTATTCTTTTTGTCCTGGCGTATTGAAGGAAATGTCTTTAGGGGCACAAATTTCAAGGGGAGTTGTTTTCAGCAATTCTTTTTGCATCAGTTAAACAGATGAACATGGAGAGCTGGAACCTTGCATGAATGTGACTACTGAGACACAGTAAAATAAAAATTTTCAGTCCCGATACAACCCCTGCGGGAATTTTTTCGAGAGGCGATGTTCAAAAAAAAATGTTTGTTGCGAATTTGAGAGAAATGGAAAGGTGAAACTTGGCGCACGTATAAGTGACATGATATTCCTGAGCTGAGGGAGTATCTAATTTTTATTGGGCATCCCCTCCGGGCATAGTTTTTGGGTGGGTATGCTTTCCAAACATGTTTTTCACTAGCGAAAATGGCAAACGTATAAAATTGAAACTTTGTGGGCATGTAGTTCACTGGGCAGACATAGAAAAGTAGCTTGCGCACGCAGCACTAACGCGATATTGAATTAAGGAAAAATAACACTTTTTTTATACGTCTCCTCAGAGCACAGCCTTTGGGTGGGTCGCTTCTCCAAAAAGCATTTTTTCCGCTAGCAAAAAAGGGAAACGTATCAGGCTGAAACTGGGCTACATGGAGTTCCCTGAGTCTACATTTCAAAGTGTAAAAAAAATTCTGTAAAACCCTTTAGGACACTTTTTCAGTCCCATTTTCCTGATTTTTTTAATCCTACAAAACAAAGACAGAAAATGTAAACTTCCCTCAAAAGTACCTGCTTGATGGCTGAGTACGGGAAAAATTCTAATATTGGAATATTTCTACTTAGCGTAGATTATAGGAAGTTAGTATTTCAAAATGTATTCTCCACCATTATACAAAAGATTTCATGTCGGACACACAGAATCATAGAGGTAATGATTTTGATAAAAATGAAGACTTTCGACCCAATATGTCGCAGATTTCAATGGGGACGTACTTTAAATGTTTCTCATTTCGTAAAAAAATGAATGAATTAAGCACAATCCAAGGTAATAGAGCGCCGAAGGCGCGACAATAGCGAGTTTTTTTCGCGCTCGCTAGTATGTCTATATTTTCCACAAGGTATAATAACTTCAGACAAGATTTATCTGATTATTTAATGTTCATCTGTAAAGGTTCAAGTATACAAGGGTACCACCGCGTTTGACTATCTGAGAGCAACGTTATGCCCAGTCAAAAATGACATTACTATGCTTGCTGGCATGACACAGTTAAATGCAATAACCCAAGCTTGATTCGCACTGGTGTCAAGGGTGGTTTATAGGGAAATGGCACTTGACTCTGAAATTCTCTCTTTTGAGTCACTGTCTCCATGATGCTAATTTTTCTTCAGTGATCATAGAGAGGAACGAGAGGTAACCGACTTAAGTTGCGTAAACCGCAGGTGCGGCTCAGGTCGAGACAGGAATTCATTTCTTGCAGAGTGGTGAACGCGGGGAATGCGTTGGATGACGAAGTAGTGGCTGCCCCTTCTGTGACTATCTTTAAGAAGAAACTAGATGCTTTCATGGATAGGCAAAAAGGTGGGGGGCAATGTTGACGTTAGGTACTATATAGTAAGCAACTAGGATAGTCGAATAGCAAATAAAAACATATTTAGTTTTAAGAGGGTTAAGCCTACCCTAAAGTTAAGTAACGCTCGACCTCGACACTTGATATTGAAATGAGCGAAATCGCCTCTTGATATTATTAACTCTCCTGAAATCCTGAAATGTAACATTTTTCGAACGAATAGTTCTAATAGTGTTGAATTTAAGAACTCCCGGCAGTTTAGGGATATCTCGAGGGACACTGAGAGAAATATATTTCTTCTGCTAAGGTTTGATTGAACGAGAAGTTAATAGCAATATTCAGGTTGTCAATAAATTCCCTGTCTGTCTTCATGCAAAACGATGAATTTTCTTCACAGTTCAGGTTTAATTATTGAAATGCGTAAACATGAAATATGTAAGCATTACATTTTTTTAATGGGTACTTTCGACAAGTATTTTAAAGAGGAAAATTTCGGATATACATTTTGTTGAAAGTTAAGAACGAACTTAAACTACCTAAAAAGGTAAAATTATTTAGTTTGAATATAGCGCTTTTGTTGAGTTCTTTATATACAGGATGTAACAAATTTAATGAATCAGAGGTATTCTAGCCTAGACGTTTTGTAACTAACAAGCCAATCTGAGTTCATTCTGGAACTGCATAGTTCCGTTAGTCTCAAAATGTGGTCCAAGTGATCCATGGTGACCCAATGTGGACCATAAGACAGTGGTTCCAAAACATTTTTGGGTACAACTCAAAATGCAACATCCAAACCCTCAGAGGAATCCCTGCCTTCAGACAACCAAATTGTTCCACCTATCCAAAAGTGTAAATTCTCCTAAGGTGATACAAGTATACAGAAATTGAGACAGAGCGACCAAGCGTTGTCAACTTGGGTCGATAATGGTCAGCTTAGGCTGCTTTGAAACAATGAAATTGAGGGTAGGTAATTTGGTCTCATGAATTTCTGCAGATCATCACGGACCGTTACGGGTCACTGAATTGGTCATTCCTGTTAGTTAATTGTGCCATTTTGGAGTAGTTAGGCCTAAGTTTGTCGATTGAACAATTCCGCTCAATTTGTGTCACCACGGGTAACTTGGACCATATTTTGCACATAAAGGAACAATGGAGTTTCAAAGACAACTCATCTTGGCTTGTAAGTTTTGTAGCGCACCCCTTGACTTATTGCCTTCCCCGGTCAGGCGCCAGGGTACGGTGTTCGAAGGAGTTGAAATTAATTGCCACTTCTCTACGCGTGTCCCTTTTATCATTAACAAAAGAGGATGATAAATAATTATGACAGCGACAAGTGAGGACAAACCGGCGGCCTTCGTGAAATCTATGGCTTTGCCGCGATTCTGCTGTCAAGACGGATCAGATGTCATCGACTTTCCCGAAATCTCCTGAATCTATTTTCGGCATCATCCTTCCGGCCTTCTGACCATTCAGCGTCTGAGTGTATCGGGACGTGGAAAGACATGGAGAACAGTATAAAAACTCGAATTGTAGGGTGGAGAGGCAGGTGGAGCTTAGGGAAGGGTTCCGGACTTTGCTGCTGCTATCATCAGGCACCGGGTTAGGGTCCCTGTTTGGTAAATGACAGACTTGATATTTTTACTCGATTGGAGCCAAGGTGCCTAAGCGCTGGTTGTAGCCGGGCTTGGGTGGATCTGGTTGGGACCATTCCATATTCTGTTCCTTGCTGGTTGGAGCCAGAAGGGATGTATAGAAATAGCAAGGTCGAAATCGAATTGTGGGCGTGCAGGCGGTTGGAGCCCGAGCAACACCTTACGGTTTCTTTTTGTAGCAGTGATTGAACAAATCACGAGACTTCGCGAAAGTGCTGCATCGAGGGGGTGAGCTGAAACATTTATTGTTCGTCGAAAGGTTAAAGTATCTTTCATTTTTGTTCATTCACCTTTTTTTTAAAGCGAAAGCTGTCAATCGCGAAGTTGTGCTGAGAAAGATCCTGTACATTATCATCTTGGGTACTTTGTATAATGTAATCTTAGAATAAGCGAAATCCTGTGTGAAACCCATTCTGTTGGAGTTATTGTCTAACGGCCATTGATTCCGTCCGACAGCAACAAACCATCCCAAAGGGATAATTTCTAATATTTCTAATATCTCTTTTTACTTTAATTATTTTCGTGTTTGGCGACGGTCAAAGTAGTTTGCGGGTAGCTATTGAGTACACCAACGTACGAGTAATAATGCCGGCCACGCCAGACGACTGCGACCGTTATCCCAAGCAGCATGTTTATAATACTTTTCCGTAAACTGAATTTACATGTTTTGTCCATTTTAGATATATTTTACGCCAGCTCCAATCAAGATAATGTCAATATACAGGGTGGGCCAAAAAAAGTGAACCTCCCTTCAGGGGGTGCTATGTTACTCAAAAATGCTCTTTTTACTTTTTTGAAGCACTCAAAATGCAGCTGGCTCAATTCTGCACAAAAAAATAATTAAATCTTAACTGTTCTTCCGTCCTTAGTTTGGCATCAAAATGTGTTTGAATGCAATTAGAGGCAAATGGGTTTTCACCGCTCCAGCATCCTGTGCAC